TACTCCCATCGGCTCCGGAATATCTCAAGACCCATATAGAAAACTGCCATGTTATCGTATGGTATGTCGGGAGGATGTGGATATTACAGAGACAGCAACAAGAGTAAGCGAACTGTGCAACCAGTTCTTTACAAACAAGTCAAAAAGACCAACATGATGTACTTACTCCCATCGGCTCCGGAATATCCCTGGACCCAAAGTCCCGAAGCCCACAAATATAAAATCTATGATTTAAGTAACTATTAATAAAACTAAAAAGAATATTCAAAAAATATCAATACAATAATAATATTTAAAGAAATGTTAATAAAGCTACTAATCATGAGTGGTAATGAAAGCGTTAGARTAAATCGACTTTATTAAAACATGCAAGATTTCACAATAATGAAAACTTGACCTATACAATAAGTGTGGAGTTCTAATCTATCATTGAATATCAATAAATCATTAGATATTAATGTTTCCTAATAAGTATCAATTAATACAGCTAAGACTCGATCGTAGCTAATTAAAATAGATATGTTTATAGATATGAATGAGGTATAAAACATAATCGAAATTTCTTACAATGGAAAGGACAGTGATTACAATTCCATACTATCAAAACTTACAGTCACTCTTATCACTCTCTTGCAAACCACGAAAATAATACTTATTTTTCCTTTAAAAAAATATCCCAAAAATGTCGAAAACAAAGTAAATTATGTATAACCTATTAAAAAGACCTTATATGAAGAAGAACATCGAAAATCGGGCCGGGCCAAAACACATATTTGCCGRATTCCTTAGATGAAAGTCGTATGTTTGCGATTGTTATACCAGAATAACAATCATTTTAATCTCGTGTTTTTTTTTAAACAAGAGAATTAACTGAACACATTTGTTATAGAATATAACATACTGTGAACAATTATATAAGAAAAATACAATATTTGTATCAACATTAGATATTGATTCAAATATTGAAAGACAACAAATAAGCATAATATATAACATAATATTAATGAATTGAAAATATTCCAGAACATTCTAGGCTAAGAAGCTACCACTGATTCAACTATCGCGGGCTCATCGATCGCAACCAAGTTTGGTTGTTCTTGGAAGTTGATGACTGAAAGGCAAGTTGAATGTCACGATCGATTACAGCGACTGTCGTGACATTCGGGGAATGAGGTTAGTAGTAATGTGATCTGGAGGACTGTTATTGTCAATGACACTTGTGTAGCCAAGGTTTATATTTCCGAAAAAAATGGGAAAGAACAAAAAGAAAAAAAGACAGAAAGAAAGAAAGAAAACAACACGGAAAGAAAATAAACAAGAGAAAAGGAGAAAGAAAAGAGAAAGAACAAATAAAAGAAATAATAAGAAATACAAGGAAACGAAAGAATTACCCCAATTAAAGCCAAAATTTTCTTTCTAATTTGACCGTTAAGGAAACACGCCAATCTTGAATTTAGATACTGCTATGTTTTTTTCCCAAAAACCAAGACTAGTTCCCAGCTCCCTCTTGCCTGCTCCGCCGCCCCTTTTCCGTTCGTGACTCCAGAGCCGACAAAAGGGAACCMAAAAACAAGAYYTTGGTYAAACCTTGACTGTGCCAAAGTTATTGATGTTGCAGGTAACCAAGCAACCAGWCACTTTCCCCCTCGCTATCGTGGAGAGAAAAAGTGGCCGTTCACTCATGTYACATAATACATGGCCGGCKCTAACCTTAGGACCGAAAGACCGAACTAAACCCTARGCGCAGTTTAAAGATGGTGTGTGAGATGAAAAAACCGACCAGCACTGCATAAAAAYAATAACAGTTCCTCCAGCTATATTCTAAATCCAAACACAGACGCATTTTTATTAACAGAAAGAAGAACAGATGCGTTGATCCAGGTCGTCTCCAGTCAGGATGTCCAACGTTGCCTAATTGAAAAACTAACCTAGAATTGGCCAACTGACCCTGGCAAATGCCAGTCAAAAACACTAAACCCCACCTACATTTAAACGTGGTAGCTTCTCCTATACATGTCATAGGGCTTCGTATAATCAAAGCCCTGCTAATCCTAGWCCTAGTTCTACTATTGTAATTTTGATTTGCAATAAACAGAACAAGAASCAATATTTATGTTACGACATGTTTTAAAATTACTTATTGCAAACCAAAGATTATGACTCAGTTCCATTTCGATTTAGGAACGACCAAACATCCCCTTAACYTCCCCAAAGACAAGACACAGATTTTTGAACATATAAGGATATTCTCATCAATCTTGCTTGACTCCATCAGCCTGAGAAAAAAGATAGATAAGAATTAATGTTAATAGTTTTCCATGTCACACCCGTCCCGTGAAAAGTGGCTTTATTTATCGCATTATCAAGGAACCTTAGGCCCCGTCCACACGTATGCGGAAATTTTTGTATTCGCAAATTATTTTTTGCGAATACGAAAATGTTTGCGTCCACACGCAGCGTATTCGTTTCACCGTCCACACGTATTCGTTTTCGTAAAATTTGAGGATACGGACACAAAAAATTGCGGACACGTGTGGACGCAAACCGTATTCGTAAAAAAAGAATTACGGATACAAAAATTTGCGGATACGTGTGGACGGGGCCTTAGAAATGTAAATGTCATTCTTTCCAAATGCCGACTTCAACTGAACTATGAATACAATTATATCTTTTTATTTTAGTTCTGCTTAAACTAAGAAGAAAGCTTTTCTAAGTTTAAACTTTGACCATATTTCCCATCTCAGTCGAGCATAACCATATTTGCTAAAAGCAGTTCAAATAATAACTCAATACATGAATGATGAACTCCAAATAAACCTTCATTAAACGAAGTTTCTATTTCTGCAAGGTTAATGATACACTTATTTCAATAAAGTTAGTCACCTGAAAAGCTATAAAGCTGAGACCGGCAAGGATTATGGGTAGATTCATTTTACACGTTCAACCGCTTGATAACTGTTGATGGACTTGCGAATCTTTTACCGGTTACAGTTTCACCTCTTCTGAGCGTAGTTTATATTAAAAAAGCTTTGTATATATATATGCTTTTTTGATATGAAAAGTGTCCCATAATGCTCAGTGATCTCAGCTTTCTAGGCCGGTTTTTGGTGACTAACTTTATTGAAATAAGTGTATAATATTTGCACTCTTTTAATCCAAAAAGTTCGAAATTTTCATCAAACTATAGTGCATTTTAGCCATGAAATTCAATAACACAATTAGTATTTTACTTGAAGAGAAGACTGAATTCCGTGTCAAACAAAATTATGATTATTATTTCAGTAGAAAACTGGAAAACCACCTTACGACGACAAAAGCTTTCGACACACTTTATTCAAATACTGATAGAGAAAAATAGGAGAGTTTTGGTTGCTTAGGCTTTGGACGCTGAATGCAAACATTAGATTCCAATTCCGTAAATGTAAGACGATTTTTTATAAAATCTAAAGTAAAACAAAAATACAGCGTATAAAATGTTTCTAGTATATGCTTTGGTTTACGAGAAATTTTGTAAAAGTTTCAAGATGAATTTTACTCTTGAACTTACCATCTTTCACTGAGTTGTTCCTTCTAACCTCGTTGTCTGGACGAGAGTTTTGGTTCCTTTGGCTTTGAACGCTGAATGCAAACATTAGATTGCAATTCCGTTAATATAAGACGATTTTTTATAAAATCTAAAGTAAAACAAAAGTCCATCGTATAAAATGTTTCTAGTATATGCTTTGGTTTACGAGAAATTTTGTAAACGTTTTGAGATAAATTTTACTCTTGAACTTACCATCTTTCACTGGGTTGTTCCTTCTATCCTCGCTGTGTGGACGAAACTGCCTTCAAAAGTTGGGATGAAGGTTATAAAGTTCTTGATTGCGTGAAATTTTTCATGCCATCACACCATTTCGTCCAATCGAATCCTGCTAWCAATATCTTTTGCACGTCGAATATTTATGATTTGCTTTCAAAT